CCCACAAAAACACCAATGCAAAAGAATACAGGATAGAAAATAAAGAAAACTATTCCCAAATAAGGGATGTTAAGAAATGAAATAAAATAGAATTATAGAAAGGTATAATTGCGAGCATGCATGCGTCGCACCCACAACCCCCCCCCACACACACACACAAAAAAAAAAGAAAAAGAAAAAAGGAAGAGTCCCTTAACCTTGAGTTTTGATCCTATCCTTATTATTGTTTATAATTTTCATAATATCTTGTGCGATTTCTGTATTTTTTGGCTTAATTATCAAGTTAATTGTCACAGAAGCACTGTACACTTACAAACATCAGTGCCTTCACTGGGATTGAAGGAAAGGGGCCATCGGCATAACAGTCAGCGTCGCTAGCGGCTATGCCAATCAGGGCGGGAATACATGCAAGCAGAAGATTTGAATAAATGGCATTTAGAAATACAAACCACTGATGGGAAAAGTGAAAAGGATCATGAGTAACTTGATGCCACTATTAAAAATATCGCGTACACTGTGAGAAGGATATCCAAAATTCTGTTCGTTATGATAAATATTTAAACTTACAAATACTTAAATTAGAGCATTGTCGGTAAATCCAAAAAACAAGTAGTTTTTTTTATTATTATTATTTGAACTTTTATTTGCTTCGTTTTATTACAAACGAACTTTTCTTAATAGCCCTCGTACATTGTGCTGCATCAGCCATTTGTATTATATTATAACACTGTTCTGCATGAAAATCCTCCACGCCAAACTTGTGTTATTTCAATAATTTCTATTTATGTAACCATAATACTGACCTGTAGATTGTCGTATCACGTAGCAAAATCTAGGTCTAGAGAATATAAACAATATGTTTTAACTGATTGCAAAGCAGGTATAAGGATGTACCTATGCTATACGTAAGTCTTCATAGCATACCAGAGTGCGATGTCACCAAGTCTACATTTGCTCTAAATTTAAGGAAATTATGCTTAATTTGGCAATACGGTAATTATGTCTTCGCTTCTGGTACTCTTGATACTCGATGTTTCTAGAAAATACCAGACATAAAAACTAGAGAATAGTGATAGGGTTGCTATTAATGTTGTGTGTAAACTATGCCATAGCAATCCTGTGTGAACAAACCTAACAGTGTCTGTTATATATGTAGCGAAGTGACACTGAAAGCTCAACGAATGACTTTGAACCCACTTGTAGGAAAGGCCTACGAGTTATATTTTGGATGCAATGTTGACAATCAAGACAGAGCTTAGGCTCCCAAAGTTTGCTGCTCAAAAACCTTATGAGGATGGCTACGGGGTACTCACGAATCTATGACGTGTAGAGTGCCTTTGGCGGGAACCTCAGAATCATGTTTATGATTGCTACTTTAAGCAACATAAGTCCTAGGGAATTCTACAAAAAGCAAATATAAAATTAAATAACTTAATATCTCGTCAGCCATGAGACCTGTACCTCATGACATTTCTACCATACCCTGTTCCTAAGCCTCCAGAAAAATACGAAATTAATTAGATTTTGGATGAACTAGATGATTTGGAACCCAAAACGGGTCCACGTTTTCAAGAAGAAAACGATTATGAATGAAACAGCAGTAAACAATACCATTTTATATCTCAGGAAGAGCTCAAGCATCTTATTCGGGATTTGGATCTTCCCGAAAGGCTGCTTGGATATTGCTCACAGATGTGGAATCTGTTGCAAAAAAGAATTAATCTTTCTACGTTTGGGAAAAGGCAGTCTGTGCTGGCAGTAGTTTTCTCAATAGCAAATGACTTGGTTTCTTGTCATGATATTCCAGATTTCAAGAATTAACTTGGCCTTTCCTATAAACCTATATAGAGTTATAACTGTTTATTGACTCTTCAAAGACAAGCCTAAAGGCAATTATTGTTTAACGGAAACAAGTAACCATCTGTTACCGTTGGTCATGTTTTAAATACGAAATAAATTTACGAGAACACGAGCATATTACTTCATAAAATGCAAAGATCATATATGGAATATCTGTCGTTGCACTACTTACAGGACTACAGAGGTACTATATATACCAAACATTGTTGTTTCTTATGCAAATGGGACAGCAAAGCCAGAAATCAGCATTATGTTGTTAAAGAACGAGCTTTATGTGAATACGTGTTGCCCAGTCTGAAAACGTCCTCAATGAACCCTTAGTATAACAGTAAAAAGTTTATTTACCTTCTCTACACATAAAAATAGGGCTTATATAAACTTTTGCTGAAGACTTAAATAGAAGAGAAAATGCTTTTCTTTATTTGAGACGGAAATTCAGGCTAAAAAATGATTCAGGCTATAAAATGATCACATTTATGGCAGAGAATTTGAAATTAAGTGAGGCAAATACGAAGAAAAAGAAATAAGTGAGGCAAATACGTATTAAAGAAGGTCTGTTCGTTAGGCTGCAAATACAAAAAAAAAAAACTTTTAAGACGAAAATTTTGAAACTACGCTTTCAAGAAAACAAGAAATCGAAGAACTACAAGGAACTAGTTGAAAAATTTATCCAATCTTATAAGACGTAGGTTGCAACATATCGCTTAAGCTTGGATTTCCTCACTCCCATTTGGAATTCTTCCGTAACAGTTTAAGTGTAGTTTCATACAAACACGGTGAAAGATTTCACTAGTAAATTACCTAAATGGAGAAGCGGTATAGTGTAAAATGTTCCCCAAACATGTTAACTGATCACTGTTGGAACTTGAAACGTGAAACCGATCCTAGAGTATACAAGCGCAAAAAGGCAACAAAATAATTTATTTGATTGTATTGTACTTTTTCAGTACAAAATGAAGTATATTTTGTAAGAAAGTGATTTTCATTTAATCATTAAAAATTCACTAGCTTGCTTATAGTTTGGATTTTCTCATATTTTATATTCTTCATCACTTCTCTAAAAACTTATGGGTGATAGGTAAAACTCGAGCTCATATTTGAATTCATTACTACAGTGGACACAAAACATCCAAAAAAATGTTAAGAGCTGCAAAAAAAAATTTTAAATGCAGAACATTGTAATTGATAGAAAAAATACGAAATACATAAATAAAATAAAATGAAAATTTTTATCTTCCCGTATAATAAAAAAAAACGGATATCTAAAGTCCGAATAAGTAGAGTCGTGCAAAAACTAGAAAAGCATCAGATATTTGCAATGTATTTATTGGAAACATTTCAAAAATAAAGCAGAGTGTTGTTTAAAGTAATATTTTAAATTTTTAATATATAACCTGCTTTTAAAGTTTTAAATGTTTTCAATTTGTATTTTGTTGTTGCAGGAAATACATCGGTAATAATTTAACTGCGTACATTTATGATGAATTAATATCCAGATTTACTTAATTTTTATCTTTTACCTTAGATCCCTCTATTTTATACATTTGAATTATGCGACTGATCCAGAAAAGAAATCTAGTGATATCCTAACAAAATTTGACTTTTGAAAATATGAAATCATAAAAATCATAATCTCTCTGTCAAGTTAATTTCATGCTAAAATGCGCAGGCAAGCATCAGTTTTAAGTGGAAGGATTTAACTCAGTTCACGTGATCACATTTATGGCAGAGAATTTGAAATTTCTAGGAGAGGAGAGGAGCCGTGCCAAAAATTGGTCTGCCTGCGCATCTGCGGTTAATCGATATGCATATTTTATTTGTGTCGATGATCGTAAGTATAACCATTTTAAATTTGGATTTCAAAAACCATTCTGTCTATGACAAGTCACATGCGAAATTCGGAAAATTCTTGAGGATTGTTTAAATGCTTATATTATTGTCATTTAGGTAAAGAATGTTAAGATGAAAAAGATTTCGTATTTAAATTTTCTTCCTACAAAAATCTAATTTATTTTCAGAACATTTGCAGCGAAGAATGTTTGATGTCACTCTGTTTTATCACATATATTTGAATGTGTAAACTAGAGAAAGAATTTTGGAATTAAGTGTTCTTAATTAAAATTAACGTTTTCTTTTTAATTGTTGGTTCTTCGGCAAGAATATCTGATTTCTGGGAATATGAAATATATCGCAAAATTAAAGACTTCGAAAATTATGTTATGGTATAACATTTTGGAAACTTTGAACGAGGAAGTATTCGGTGACTAATGAGTAATTCAACATATTAGGAAAACATTCTTATTAATAGTAACTATCTACAGCAAATAGAAATAAACAAATATGAAACTAATAAAATGGATAAGCATACATGCGTTTTAATAACTGAAGAAATAAACCAGCTTATGTTTTAAACATGCTCTGCAGTGAAATGTTTGTTCAATTATTAAGCAACGAATAAACTCTAAACTGTGTCATCTATAATTTAATTAAAGTAGCTGATTTCTTAAATAAATTCTAATCACATATAGTTTTATTCTATAACATTCTGCAGTTAAAAACATAATCTTTTTTTAGAAAACAAATGTCAAATTTATTCAAAATAAACTTTTATTATTTATAGAATTCTATATCCAAAATGATCAGAAAATAATTAGGTCACAGTGTGAAAACCTGCTCTATGATGTGTGCAATTAATTAATAGGCTTAATGATTTGGACTATATATAATTCGTGTAAAGATTCTCAATGAACTATAAAATGAAATTTTATGTGCTGATAAAGAAAGAAATCAAACTCGAACATGAAATTGCCTGAGTACCTGGGGATAGTTGCTACAATGCCTTATTCACCTTATGAGGAAGTTCAAGAAAATTAAACTGGAGAGCTGATACTTTCTGGAACTGAAGGGAAATATTTACGCCTTATTCTGAAATCCATCGTTTTGCCTTACAAAATGGTAATGTAATTTGAGCATGAAGGTGCCTGAGTACATCACAGTTGCTACAATGCCTTATTCACCTTACGTGGAAGTTCACGAAAATTAAAATGGAGAACTGATACTTTCTGGAATTGAAGGGAAATATTTAGGCCTTATTCTGAAATCCATCGGTTTGCCTTACAAAACAGTAATCTAATTTGAATATGAAGTTGCCTGAGTACATCACCGTTGCTACAATGCCTTATTCACCTTACGTGGAAGTTCACAAAAATGAAAATGGAGAACTGATACTTTCTGGAATTGAAGGAAAATATTTAGACCTTGTTCTGAAATCCATCGACTTGCCTTATAAAACAGTAATCCCCGCTGATAAAGAATGGGGTTCACGATTACCGAATGGAAGCTGGTCTGGCATAATAGGTATGCTTCAAAGAGGTGAAGCTGATATAGGTATGTCTGGACTTTTCTTTACGGAGCAAAGATTAGAAGTTGTTGACTTTAGCACTCCTCATTCAACTGAGTTTGTTACTTTTGCTTCACATATGCCAGGTGAATTATCATCTTTGTATGCCTACTTTTATCCATTCACTTCAGGCGTTTGGGCCTGTTTCTTCTGCCTTTTGTTTATTCTTCCACTTTTGATCACTTTAATCTTAGACAGAAAATATTCTTATCTATATCTTTTCTTCCAAACAGTTGCCAGTATACTAAAGCAACCTGTCTTCATCAAAGAAAATTCTACTCATGGCCGAATTCTCTTAATATTTTTGCTTCTCTTTACTACCATAATAGCCTTCTGTTATAACTGCGTTCTCTCAGCCTTTTTAACAATACCTCTGCAGAAGCCACCCATACGAACTTTTCATGACCTGTATGAAGCTGTTACTCATGGAACTCATCGATGCATTGCTTGGGAAGGTTCCGCAATGTATGAAGTTCTAAAGCTCTCTCCTCAACCAAAAATTCGAAAGATAGCCAAAATAATAGAAAAAAATAATTGGACAGCAGCAGGCGAAGTCATTAAATCCCCTGAAATTTTTGATAAATATACTGCTGTGATGATTAGTGAATTTGAATATAAAATTTATTTCGGAATGGAACAAAAAGTTACATTATACATGATGGATGAAGTTCTTACATCCTCTAACACTGGATTTGCGTTAAGGAAAGACTTTTGCTGCAAAGAACGCCTTAACGCAGTGATATCCAGCTTAACTAGTGGAGGTTTTTATTACAAACTAATGAGTGATCAATCATACATAAACTGGTTAAAATCTGCAAAAAAGTCTCAAATGAATGACAATCACCAACCTATGCATGAGATCATTACATTCTTGTTGGTTTTCGCTATAGGTAATACATTGGCCTTCTTTGTCCTGCTGGGCGAAATACTGTATGCCCATTTACACAAAGCATATTAATTTGCATTTTGTAATATAAATAGAAATACTTAGTTGAGTGGGTAAATTACCTGTATTAAATATATTATATTATGCATTAGATATATATAATATTTAAATATTAAATATTATTAATTATTATATTAAAGTATTAAATATATCACCTTTCCTTTCATAACTGCATATTTACTGATAAATTAAAGTATGAAAAGAAATTGAGTTGTTTTTAAATTTAGGATAGTTTATCGGAACTGAGTTATTTATGGAATAATAGTAACTTTTGTTTTCAGAGTACGCATATAATATTCAATTTATGATGATAGTCTCAAAGTGACGTGGTGATCTGCAGCTACCTTCCTTTTCTTCCTTTTTAAAAACATATCATATTGCATTTTTTAAACTCTCACTATTTATCTATTTATTATTTTCAAATTTCCATCTGGATATCTTTTAATAATCCTGCATACACTAACTAACAATAAGTATTTGGACACCTGTGATAGAAAAAAAAACTAACTTTATTCAAAATCAATAGTTGGTAGGACCTCCACGAGAGGTACTTACAGCGTGGACCCTCCGGGGCACAACTTTCCACAAGTCTTTGTATGACAGCTAGTGGTATTGTCTTCCACTCGGCTTGGAGAAGACATAGAAGTTTCTTCACCGATTTTGCACGGGTAGTGCACCCCTGAATTCGGCGATGCAACTCGTCCCAAAGGTTCTCGATAGGTTTCAGGTCTGGAATCTGGCCAGGCCAGTCCATTCGATGAACTCCATTGGCACCATACCAAGCCTTGGTTAACGTCGAAACATGACAACTGGCATTGTCGTCCTGAAAGTAACAGGGGTTCAACCCGTAAAACTGCCACAACGTAGGAAGCACATTGTCATCCAGAATAGTGCACTAGGCATCGGAGTTGAGCTTACCATGAATGGGGAACCAAGGGTCCTAGCCCATACCAGGAGAAACACCCCCAGACCATAATTCCACCTTCGCCGAACTTGATTGTTGGCACAATGCATTCAGGCAGGAGATGTTCTCCAGGTAGACGCCAGACCCAGACCCTGCCATACGAACGGTAAAGGGTGAACCTTGATTCGTCACCCCAAAGAACCCGTTTCCACTGATCTACGTCCAATTTCGATGTGCTTTGCACTACATTAACCGAGCAACGCGGTTGGACTTTGTGATCAAAGGCTATGGGCAGCAGCACGACCATGAAAAACCAAGCAGATGTGCTTCCTTAGGGATGGTATTCATTGAAACAATACTCCCGGATGCCTGTTGAAACTCCTCGCGGATGAGGGCTATCGGTTGGGTGCGGTTCTTCCAATTTCTCTGAATAGTACTCGTCGGTCTCTATCACACCCAGTTTCGTGGTCTGCCGACTCGGGGCACATTCCGACAATCAACCCCCTCACCTTCCACTTCTTAATGACATAGGCCACTGACGATATTGAGTACTTCAGATCGCTAGATATGTCCCTTAAGGATCGGCCACATTTGTGATACCCGATAATTATACCTTTCTCGAAATCAGAGAGTTTCGACCTGCGAGGTATCTTGCATGCGACTAATGCCGATGCTGTTTCCTACACGATATATACCGGCGGAGTCCGTGGCGTACCTTGGGACCGCAGATATCGTCATTTGCATAGGTGTCCAAATACTTATTGGTAGTCAGTGTATTAAAAGAATATAAAGCAGTCCCTAAACATTTGAAAGTTACGTCAGTGTTAATTAGTTTCATATATAAATGAGTTCAAAGTACATAATTCACAATGGAAACTTCTTAAATAGCTTTCTAAAATAAACCGTTTAAAGAAAAATATATTATGAAACATTTCGGGCTTTAAGCCCTAGTATGAATGTTATGAAAATTAGTTAGTAAAATTAGTAAAATTAGTTAGTAAAATTAGTTAGTTTTCAAAAGAAATCATACAAATGGTAAACATGTTACTTATTTTGTGATATTCACAAAATTCAGGTCGTGATGAAACTTTGGGTTTTATCCAAACTTTTGGCTGATATCTAGGATATCATTCTGTTAACCAATTGTTTTCTAAATTCTTTGCCATTTATATCCAGAACAGACTTTTATTCCTCACAAATTTGTATACGAAAATTCATTTATTATAAAATGACTTAACTCAACTGACTTAAATGGGAATTTAGGGGCTTAAAGAAACGACTTTCCAGAGGGGTGAGGGGACCAAAGCTTTGAAAAAGATCATACCAGTAAATTTCTAATTATTTCATTTGGGGATGGTCCATAAACATACTGTAGAGTATAGTGTTCCATTAATACGAAAACTCTTTTTTTTTTTTTTTTTTTTTTTTTTTTTTTTTTTTTTTGTTCAGGCCCTATTTGGTTCATTTTCAGAGAGAAAAAGCCTGCTCAGACATCTTCTCTTACGTACAAGGTAAGGCATAAATATGGCTACACTTTTTGAAGTATACGTAGTTCGCTACCTAATCTTCTAGAGAAAAGTGATGAAGTGATGAAAAGTGACGATATTAAACTTAAAACTCCATTTTCCATTTCAAACAAAAATCATGTATCCAAGCTTATATCATTAGCTGATCATTGAGCAACAGGTTGCAGCATTTGTGGACCAGAATGATAATAAACTAACGACGCTAGACAGGCCTCATTTCAATGTTGCACTATTTCTGTCGACTGTGTTAAAATGGGGAGAACGAGAGCTTACCACGTGAAACATTCAGAATAGAAAACTTTCCAAAAACATTTCTGGTCACATAGATGCAGGGGAGGTAGCAATATATTACTTCCTAATATGACCTAATATGACCATACCAAGCAGCGATCAAACGTGTAGCCACAATTCTGATTCTTCCTATAAATAATTTCAAGTACGAAAGATATAAATTGAAAGACGAAGAAACATTCAGCAATATAATGTATCAAAACCTAATTAAGTATGACACATAATGTAAAAAATAATGTATTAAATGGTAAATCTTCACTACATAGAAATAGTTTTTAGTACTTCTGTGGACATTATAAAAATGCAGTATGCAGCAGTGAGTTTTTGTTTATTTTAAATATTAATGTTGTTAAAAATAACGCGTATGAACATGAAAAATGCGTTTACTAGAGACAAAATTATTAGTAAAGACAGCTAATTTAAAAGAAATACTATGTGTTTAAAAACATAGATACATAATTATATTATGATCCCATTAACTTGTAGAGTCATTAGGAATTTTTTTGAAGCGAAAGATGTGAAAAATGCACAGTGCCTTTGCCGGGACTCGAGACTGGACCTAACCGTTACACCACGAAAGCATGCGGAAAGGAGGGAGAAAATACCTTATATACTCCCCCTTTTAAGGGGATACTGTGGAAGAGGGGACCCAATCGCCAAATCCTGGTGGTAAAGAATCATCGTTCACCGCCTTTTTCACTTCGGGTGCCACTGTAGAGACATTAGAAGTATTTTTGACGCAGGAGATCATGAAAAGTGAGCAATTCCCTCGCCGAGATTCGAACTTCGGACCTCTCAAATACGCGCCGAGTTTCCTAACAGTTACATCACGAAGGCATGGAGAAAGGAGGGCTAAGATACTTTATAAACTCATATTAAAATAGGAATTACATTTCAAAGAAAACGAAAATAACGTTTAACTAATATTAGGAATTTGTATTCAATTTATGTACTCAGATTGTGATTCCAAATGATATGATAAATTGTAACCATAGAGAATTTTTTCTCAGCTTGTATCTTTATATTTTGTAATTGTGCAATCTGTCATCTAGCATGAGATCATAAGCATGCAGAAAATGTTTTTCGGGCAACTTACAGCAGTAAGATCTTGTTATAGATGTATATCTTAATCTCCTCTTTTTTAATTTACATTTTGTCATCTAAGAATTTTTTCATTAAAATAATATCTCATTTGTCACAATAATATGACAATAAGATTCGAAAGCCATGCTAATTGTTTAATTTTTATTTATCGAATAAAATGTAATTCATTCATTTTGTAGTCTTTTATACTTAAAAATGTTAATAATGTATTTTTCTGGATAAAGGGATATTTTTCGGACTTCATATACTCCTTAATCATGACTGCCAAACAAATATGTAACATGCTTTCAATATATCCATTTACGCTAAATTACATTATAATGTTCCTAAATGTTTCTCAAAATGGTTCAGATCTCTATGAAATCAGAACCATTTTGTTGTATAAAATTAGTTAGTTTTCAAAAGAAATCATACAAATGGTAAACATGTTACTTATTTTGTGATATTCACAAAATTCAGGTCGTGATGAAACTTTGGGTTTTATCCAAACTTTTGGCTGATATCTAGGATATCATTCTGTTAACCAATTGTTTTCTAAATTCTTTGCCATTTATATCCAGAACAGACTTTTATTCCTCACAAAATTGTATACGAAAATTCATTTATTTTAAAATTGTACTTAAAATTTTATTTATTAAAAATTGTACTTAAAATTTTCTAAATGCACTAAATTTAAGTATAGATTGTTTTAAAATAGTCATATAACACTGTACTTGAAATCCATAAATAAACTTAACTTGAAGTTACGCGACAAGTGTAAATACTAAAGAGAAAACCATTATTAATGTTACTTTATAGATCACTTTCGTAATCTAAGGGGATCTAAAAGTAAGTTCGCATATTTTAGGTATTTCGTGTATAGTTTTTTGAGAAATACAATAATTTATTTAAGAATTTATAGGGTATTTTCCAGCGTGTGAAATTAGATATTTAAAAGCAAACTTTTTAAAGGCAGATGTAATAAACATAACTTTGATTTTAATTCGGATTTCGTAATGATTAACGTTTATAATATGCAAGAAAATTTTAAAAAAATTGGGACCATATAAATTTCCCAGAAAACGCAGTTTGCTTATTAAATATGTCGTTTATTTGTTATATATAAGAAATTTTTTTTAAATATTAAACAAATTTCAGATTATTTCAGCAATGCATACAGGTAGCGTATGCAGAAATTTTATCTTTTT